GAGCACCCAGTGTTACCACACTCAGTCGTAATTGTTCTAGCGAGACAAGCTTGTTAACCATGACACCGCCTCGAGGTGCCATATCAGTCCTCCTCTAAGGCAGTGAATACAGGATAATCTCCTCACAGATGAAGAAGAGTCTTGAAGCCACAGTGGTTCCAAAGAAGGATGCTGGAGAGTTGAGTCAAATGGAAATAACTGAGACATCCGGAAGAGGCATGGTACGTGGAACTAGAACAGTCTAACCTAGTGGATGAAATAAAGGGTTTGTGGAGAGATAATAATGATTTTAGAGATACGAATCTTACTAATTGACTCATAGCTAGGAAGGGAGAAGAGAATTTGATAAACAAACAATGAATTATAACGCAGAGATAAAGTAGGGGATCAATTTTATATGAAGATTAATATATAAACTGATCCCCCACTTTGTGGCCACGGTACTTTCTATAAATTTATATTCCAGAGAGTGTAAATGAATCTAAAAGAATTGCCTGTGCAGCTAATCAGTATTTCATTGATTGATGCGTTTTTGACGACTTATTTGCGGGTTATTCAAAGCCAGAAAATACTTCTAGATTTTAAGAATTTTTTAAAAGATAATAATGATTTTAGTGATACAAGTTTTACTAATTAACCCATAGTTGGGGAGAAGAGGTGCATTCATTCAGTAAAAACAGGGGAAGTAATAACAAGGCAGTACTAAAATCATAACTAGACGAGATATCACTAGACCAGAGGTTCTCAACCGGGATTCTATATGGACAAGGAGGCCCAGGTAACATTACTGTTACCACACAAAATAATAGCAAATTGAGGGTCCACGGCAATATTTTAATGGCCCATAGAGTAATTTCGGAATGGTTGTTACAAACTCAGAACATTCCAACCACCTGAAGAAGTCCGGAGCGTACAACGGTCGAAACGTTGTGAATATGGCATTGAAGATTAGGATAAAAGTTCAAATAATGTAAATAATGCAAGTAATCATAATACCTCATCTCAGAGATACAGAGGTCGAAACGTTGTGAGTATGGCAATGAAGATGAGGATAACAGTCCGAATAATGTAAATAATGCAAGTAATCATAATACCTCATCTCAGAGATATAGAGGCCGAAACGTTGTGAGTATGGCAATGAAGATGAGGATAACAGTCCGAATAATGTAAATAATGCAAGTAATCATAATACCTCATCTCAGAGATACAGAGGTCGAAACGTTGTGAGTATGGCAATGAAGATGAGGATAACAGTCCGAATAATGTAAATAATGCAAGTAATCATAATACCTCGTCTGGGAGATATAGACCCCGAAACGTTGTGAATATGGCAATGAAGATGGGGATTGAGAGTTTAATATAGCATTGAAGAACAAGTTCTTTTTTCACGTCGTATTACTAATGGCAGTTCATGTTCTTCTGTGTATAGGTTCCCCCCCGGGGATATCTTGAAAGATTTCTAGGCCTATTTTTAATCCTTAAACCTAATTCTTAATCCTTGGTGATGCACTCAATAGAGTTCTTTTACGTAGGTTTTTCTTGCTTCGTCATATATAAAGCTACCATTATCGAGTTTCGATTTAATTAATAAGTGGTATATCTTGAGTAATAAGTGGTATATCTTGAGTAATAAGTGGTATATCTTGAGTAATAAGTGGTATATCTTGAGTAATAAGTGGTATATCTTGAGTAATAATTCTTTGTTTGCTCCCCTGTCTGGATGAGCAATAACTTGAAGTAATTGTGGAGTTTTCTGGCATGTGGACCATAAGTAATTTATATGGCGTATATATGTTATTTTTATCGAATACTAGCCAAATTACTCGTGCCTTGCTGTGTGTCACATTTTTTGTTAGACCTCCATCTTCTCGATTTTTCCTTCTATATTTTCGTTAAGAGTCATTCTCTTGTTCAAATTTAAATTTAATTTAAATCAAAAGGAAAAATACTTGAGTAAATGGATGGTAGGGCAGGGTTTGAGCGAAAAAAGCAAAAAGAGAAAATTTATTAAGAGCTACAAGAGACAGCAAGCTGTGGAGGACCATGATCGCCTACATCCTGATGGGACACAGTACGTAAAGAATATCAGACAATTAGTGGATAACTAAATGACAGAATGGAGAAAAAATCTATGTAACGCGTCTGGCCCTTCAAAATTGCTTCAAGCTAAGATAATATTCTTATCGGAATTATATATATATATATATATATATATATATATATATATATATATATATATATATATATTTGTTTGAATAAAAGACAGACCACGTTAAGATTCCATGTAATAAGTTATTTCACCATAACCCCTTTAGCAGGGTTCTGGATCTTCAGACTTTACTTCCAAAAGCTGAAATGAAGAATGAAAAGAAAATTCACACGTTTTTTACGGACCTCATCAAGTATACGCAAAGTTAACGAAGTGAGGAAGTGAGGTGGGAGAGAGGATGTGAGTGTGTCATATGTATCATTTTAGTTTTCTATTTTAACCCCAGTGTATCGGCTGGATGTTGCTCTAACTAACGCGTCTCGTCTCTAGATAAAGGTGGTTAAGGGGTGGGCGATAAAGGCTACATTGAGGAAGACGCGTTATAACAGCCCCAATAAATTATCCGACAGGTTTCATTCAAATTCCTAGACGCTGTCAGTTCGCGTTACTTTAACGTGCATATTTGGGAGGTTAAGGTTTGATAAATATCTAAAATTTTAAAAACAATCTACGAAGAAATTAATTTGAAATTCAGTGGAGTTTTGGGTATTTCCTATGAAGCAGTCGAAGTAAAGTAAAGTCTGATGTTCCAGAACCCTGTTAAAGGGGTTATGGTGAAGTAGCTTATTACATGGAATCTCAACGTGGTCTGTCTTTTATTCAAACATATATGCTCTGAATCTTACATTGAGCTCTCTGGATATCATCCTTCTCAGGTCTATCCATACGGATTACCTAAATTTGAATAAACTATATATATATATATATATATATATATATATATATATATATATATATATACATTAGCCAAATTACCGTCATCTTGCTGCGTGTCGTTTTATTTTGTAATAAAATGATGAGTGATTTTAAATCATTGTTATAATTTGTGTAGAAAAATGATGCATTTCAATATTACTCAATGATCCTGCCGATGTGACCTCCATTTTATGGCTTTCTCCTTCTATATTTTGGTTAAGTGTCCTTCCCTTGTTCAAATTTAAAAGAAAGGTAAAAAATTTCAGTGGGTGTGTGTGTACAAAAACAACTTGATCTGACTCCTTTGAATTGCATTTGATTCAATTCTTGATTCAATGAACTGATGAGCAGATTTCCACATTGAAATGACAGTTGAATTGTCGCAACAAACATTTATTGTAAGGCACAACCCGCTGATTGGTAATTTCTTGCTTTACTTGACGTCCATATTGTCTCATTTGGATCTTGTCGATGTGACCTCCATCTTCTGGATTTCTCCCTTTATATTTTGGATAGGAGTCATTCCCTTGTTCAATTTTAAATTTAACTTAAATCAAAAGGAAAAAAAAATTAGTGTGGGTGGTATATACAAAATAAGCTTGATCTGACCCCTTTGATATGTATTTGATTAAATACTTGATTGAATGAATTGATGAGTAGATTTCAACAATGATATGACAGTTGAATTGTCGCATCAAATAAGTACTGTAAGTATATATATATATATGTGCAGATATGTAGAAAAATAGGAAAGAACACGTTAGGTAAATAATCCGGAGTTATTTAGTTTTTTTGTTTTTATTTTTAAATGCAGTGCTCCATACAGAAGTAGAGCTTAGATTATAATTATTTAAAAAAAAAAATATGATTCCGTCGCTACATAACAGTTCACATGTTTCAAAAACAAGAGCCGAAAACCTCAATATAATTATTAAAATTAAATTGAATTAAAGTATCAAGACCTGTTTTATGATCAAATGAAAATTTAGGTATCAATTCGCTTGAGGATGAAACATGGCTTGATACTTTAATTCAATTTAATTTTAATGATTATATTGAGGTTTTCGGCTTTTGTTTTTGAAACATGTGAACTTTTATGCAGCAAAGGAATCATATTTTTTTAAAAAAATAATTATAATAAAAATAATTATAATATATATATATATATATATATATAGAGAGAGAGAGAGAGATAACTAGACTCGTTTCGAAAAACCCAAGAATTTTTGATTTGTTAATCAAATCAATCTCGAGGGAAAAAAAGGTTTTAAAAAAAGAAAGAGCTATAAACATGAACTTCTGCCGACAAAAAAAATCAAAATCGCACAGATGCAGGTCTGAACCCCTAAGAAAAAACCCAGATACGAGTAAACAACTAACTAACAAAAGAGCTCAATACAACCGTAGAGCAGACCTAGATACACCTAGTGAGCCAGACGAAGCTAGCTAGGTAGGTTTGTCTGGCTCACTAGGTATATATATATATATATATATATATATATATATATATATATATATATATATATATATATATATGTGTGTATGTATGTATGTATGTATGTATGCTTCTTGTATTATGTAAAATAGATAGGTTAGTTTATAAAACAAGGACAAACGATAGGGTACCAATATAATCAGTACGAAAAAGATTTATGAAAATAAACTTAAATTAAAAATTTTGTTCGGTGTAAAAGCGCTAAGTTTTGTCTATTATTAGTAGTCTGGGAAGTGGAGGAGTAAGATTGTAAACATAGATGAAAAGGGTTGTGGGTTGAAGAGTGGGGAAGATATCTCGCGTGTACCAAGCTGCCAATTTCAGAAAGACGGGCTGTAGTTAGAATAACATGACGAGACAAAAAAAAAAAAGGAAGAAAATATATATATATATATATATATATATATATATATATATATATATATATATATAATTAAATGAATTATAAAGAGAAAAGAAAAAAAGGAGGGCACAATTAAAAGGATAAAAAATTTGTGATAAAAAATATGGAAATCTATTGTTGAAAAAATATATATATACGAAGAGATAGATAGATAGATAGATAATGAATGGTGAGGTATAGATATAGAGATAATGAATGTACAGAGATAGATAGATAGATAGATAGATAGATAGATAATGAATGGTGAGATATAGATATAGAGATAATGAATGTACAGAGATAGATAGATAGATAGATAGATAGATAGATAGATAGATAGATAGATAATGAATGGGCTGAGATAGATAGTAAGATAGATAGATAGATAGATAGTATTTACATTAGTTGGACTATTGTCCTCATCTTTGTCGCCATATTTGTCACACCGTTTCGGCCGTTGTACGCTCCGGCCTTCTTCAGGTGGTAGGAATTTCGAACTGAACCCTTTATTTCGATCACTGGGGTAGACTGTTCTAGTTCCACGTGCCATGTTTGATGGATGTCAGTTATCAGTTATCTCCTGCTAATTTTCCCTCTGAAAGTCCTCCACCGCCTTAACCTGGAATTGAACTCACCTTCTTTGGGTCTGTCACTGGATCTAACCAACGCCTTTATCCACAATTAATTAGCAGGAGATAACTGATAACTGACATCCATCAAACATGGCACGTGGAACTAGAACAGTCTACCCCAGTGATCAAAATAAAGGGTTCAGTTCAGAAATTCCTACCACCTGAAAGGCCGGAGCGTAGAACGGCCGAAACGTTGTGACAAATATGGCGACAAAGATGAGGACAATAGTCCGACTAATGTAAATACTGTACATACCTCATCTCAGATAGATAGATAGATAGATAGATAGATAGATAGATAGATAGATAGATAGTGATACCTATGCAAGCATTGTTTCCGGTTCTCAGTCAATACACGTACTAATTTTCTCTTTGCACACTCAAATCAATGGCCTTATATTTTTTAAAAGAATTACTTAGAAAAAAGTGTAGTGACAAAATTTACAATAGCTGATGGTCCTAATACGTTTTGGATAATGATATTTCAGGCAATGAGGCAAGCAGAGAAGCGCACTGGTAGAAAATCGTAGATAATAACAAAGATGAGAATATTCGTCCATCTTACTTTCAGATTAATATAATAATGACTGATATCGAAAAATCAGAATGGCCGAACAACGCTTTCGGCTGAATCACGCTGATGACATTTTTAGAATAAAATTTAACTGATAATGACATTAGAAAATCACGATGGTCGGTGAATGCATCGGCCAAATCATGGGGATTCACTTCCTTTTTTTTCTTTTTTTTTAGTTAGTATGTTAACTGATCTCAGAATATCAAATAATATTTGAATCATTTGTTCCTTCTTTAGAATCTGTTTCTATGGTAACGTCGTCTTGACAACGGAGAAAACCACCGGATATAGTCAGCGGAGAAAAACAAAACTAACATTTCAAAGTCAATAAATCTGTTTCCAAAGCAGTTAGGGGCTTCTTCACATGTAATATTAGCCGTTCGACGATTTGACCCAGTTCTCCCTCCACTTTCGAAGAAATCTGCAATCTCCTCTTTCGGAATCGCTATCAACTATCAGGTCGCCTTCACAATATTTTAGCGGTGATATTAACACTTAATGAAAAGCCAGGAATCGTGTCAAGATATAGCTGCCATTTTGTGGGGACTGGAAGATAATCATACAATATTTGGAAAAAAAAGTGTTTATAACGGGAAAGTTTATTTACGTGAGTGTATACCGACAAGAAAACCAATATTGAATTTGAAAATGTGATAGATAGATAGATATATAGATAGATAGATAGCCTGTAATGGATAGATAATGAACTGACTGGGATAGATAGATAGATAGATAGATAGATAGATAGATAGATAGATAGATAGAAAATGAACAGACTGAGACACATAGATAGATAGATAGATAGATAGATAGATAGATAGATAGATAGATAGATAGATAGATAGATAGATAATGAACAGACTGAGACACATAGATAGATAGATAGATAGATAGATAGATAGATATAGATAGATAGAGAGATAGATAGATAGATAGATAATGAACAGACTGAGACACATAGATAGATAGATAGATAGATAGATAGATAGATAGATAGATAGATAGATAATGAACAGACTGAGACACATAGATAGATAGATAGATAGATAGATAGATAGATAGATAGATAGATAGATAGATATAGAAAATGAACAGACTGAGACACATAGATAGATAGATAGATAGATGAATAGATAGATAGAAAATGGAAATAGACTGAGACACAGATAGATAGATAGATAGATAGATAGATAGATAGATAGATAGATAGATAGATAGATGAATAATCGACAGCCTGTAATGGATAGATAATGGACTGGGATAGATAGATAGATAGATAGATAGATAGATAGATAGATAGATAGATAGATAGATAGATAGATAATCAGACTGAAATACATAGATAATGAACATACTGAGATATATAGATTGATAAAGAACAGACTGAGATAGATAGATAGATAGATAGATAGATAGATAGATAGATAGATAGATAGATAGATAGATAGATAGTGAATGAAGAGATTGTGATGAATTACTGAAAGGGGGTAAAAATAATTACATAAGGCTCTAAGTGCATTGTATGTTTTCAATTCCGTTGAATGGAACGCCATGATAATATTTTGAGACTAAAGAAATTTTACAGCCGAAGAAGAAAGACGGCTTGGCAATCGGATGAAGAATTCAGACAGAAATGCAGATTAATCCAGAACTAAAGAATCTTAATCGTCCGTTTTGCCTAGAGATTAGTCATCACCTCAGAAAGAAAATTAATTACATCTCGTGGTGTCGTTGCGTGTATACTTAAAAAAAGATCTTAGAATTTTACGATAGCGTTTTTTAATTTGCAATATCTGGCACGCCTCCGCAGACACCGAAAATAATAAACTGCTTCCAAAAAGATATATATATATATATATATATATATATATATATATATATATATATATATATATATATATATATATATATATATATTAAAAAAAGAAAGAACACTAAGATATACAATCCGGAGTTCTTATTGATATTTTTTATTTTTAAAAAACAGTGCTCAATGTCAATTTACAGAGCATAAATATTATATATAAATTAACTTATTTAAAATATGGTTTATTCGCTACACAGTAATAACCATGTTTCAAAAACCGAAGCTAAAAACTTCAAATTTAATTATATAATTAAATTAAAATCTTTAGTTTCGTTTCATCATCAAGCGAATTTTGGAATAACTTATTTTTAAATTTATTGAGTTTTAAACGCACATATAATTTCATAATTTCCTGTTTCCAAGGATACAGAGAAATCCAGTCATTGAGACAGGGGCAGTAGCATGTTCATTTTTATTAACTATTGTTGTATCAATTATGAGTTACGTTCGAAAAACCGGTTAAGTTTAGGGAGGGGAGGGGTGCATTTTTCCACGAATTCTGACATCCGTTAAACACATGTCGTCTGTTTTTTTTAATTTTTTTTAAATTATTATTAACGACAAAAAGGTTTTCGGCATTTTTTTCGTTAAATTATTCGCTTGAAGATGAAACAGAAATAATGCTTTTAATTTAGTTATATAATTAAATTTAAAGTTTTTAGCTTCGGTTTTTGAAACATGGTTATTACTGTGTAGCGAAGTAACCATATTTATAATATGCGTGTGTGTGTGTGTGTGTGTGTGTGTGTGTGTGTGAAGATGGATGCAATATCTTGACCGTGTTTTGAAAAATGAAAACATTGTATAAAAACATAAATACAACAAAATATTTCTTATTTAACAGTTAAAATATTTAATCCTTGAAAATGGCTAAATGTATAGCCGAAAGCGCTGGGATAAAAAGAACATTCGGACAGTTTTTATATAATTTATCTTCTGAAAAGAAAAAATTATTGGATCGCATGAGAAATTGTATAAAATAAAATAAATCAAAACAAACTGTCTGTCGTATTCAACGAAATATGCATATATAGATAGATAGATAGATAGATAGATAGATAGATAGATAGATAGATAGATAATATTAGTGGTAAATATACACATACATATGCAAAATATATAAATATATATACATACATGCATACACATAAATATATATTTTGAATAAAAAAATTCCAAGAGGATAGAATCCAGGTAGAACTCAATGTCCAGGACAGAGTAAGGATATAATAAAAAGGCTTAAACACTAATATTCCATGGTCATAATTTATTCCATTGGAATCGTAAATACGATCGAATTCATCAGCAGTTTGATGAATTGGATCGTATTTACGATTCCAATGGAATAAATTATGACTATGGAATATTAGTGTTTAAGCCTTTTATTATATATATATATATATATATATATATATATATATATATATATATATATATATAGTGCTATGTTTATGGATAAAGTGCTCAATATCAGAGATAGGGTGTGTAAATATAAACGTGAACACTGAAGTCAACACTGAGAAGGACAGTCTGTTTCATGCAGACGCAATCGTCAAGCCTGACGATTGCGTCTAGCATGAAACAGACTAGCATATCCTATACAGAAACACATAAAAATAATGTATAAACATAAAAATGTCTTAAATGTCTTTGTCCATTTCATATTGTGTGACGTCATTTGTTTACATTTGAGTACGCTTTGAGCAGATATAAATGTACGTGAGAGATTCATTGAAGATTGTAATTTTAAGGCAGTAAAATCGACCTTTCCAACCCAACGTTCCTCTGTGGCTCAATCGGTTAAGGCACGTCGGACCATACGACGGTTCCGTATAAGATACAGGTTCGATTCCTGTCGGAGGACGAATATTTTCTTTGAAAATTTCTCGGACATTCAGACCGGTAAATGTAGTTTAATACTGTTTATTATAAAACAGCATTTACTTAAATATTTCTATCTATAAAAAGAATGTATAAAAATGTCTTAAATATGCATATATATATATATATATATATATATATATATATATATATATATTTCTCCGTCAATTTCTGACTATGCGTAGCTATCCATTGCTGAATTCAGTAATGTAGCTACACATAGTTTTTGCTTACTAGTTGCACCCCTGGTAATGATCTCAGAAAAAGATGGACTGTACTTGGGAAATAAAAAGTAATTTTCCTGGTCACAGTTCTTTTTGTGCCTCATTTGATTGTAATACACGGAAAAATATCCGTGAATATGAACGGATTATGCTAAAAATAAGCAGACATAATGTTTGTAATTTATTTTAATCAGACATGCCTAAAAGAGAATTTGCTGCCTAAATATACATACACACACACACATACACTCACGCACACAGACACACACACGCACTCACATATATATATAGTGTATTGGGGCAGTAGACCATTATTCAAATATATATGCTTAAATATAACAAACAACTAATGTATATTATGTTTGATCATGAGCTGTTTTAAACTTCGTATAGCTTCTTTAATTTCGGGAGAAAATAGAGACAAAAATTGTCCAACATTTGGATAATATTTTTATGCTGTTCCTTCATCTAAGCTTTCGGCTCACGTGAGCCATCTTCAGACTGGTTGTATGTACATTTCAGCAAAGATATTCACCATCAAAGATGATATCTTGTTATATTGACATAGAAGTGGAACAGCATCGTAGAAAAACCCAAATGTTGAACAGTTTATTTTCTCCCGAAATTAAAGCAACTATACGAAGCTTAGAACGGCTCATGATCAAACATAATAGACATTCGTTGTCTGTTATATTTAACAATATGTTTTAATAATCTATCTATCTATCTATCTATCTATCTATCTATCTATCTCGCTCTCTCTCTCTCTCTCTCTCTCTATATATATATATATATATATATATATATATATATGTATATATGGCGTATTATATTTAAGGATATGTGTGTGTGTTTGTGGTATTAATATGTTTTCAAAGTGAGACCTAGAAACATTTCTAATTCGATCATATATTCGCTGGGCTGGTCATATTATGCGCACATTAAGGGCCGTGTTTCTCCTTCTGAATTCAGGAAGAGAGTTCCACCAAAGAGAAGTGTCGCAGAAGAACCTCTTATCATAGAACCTACGGTTACAACTAGCAAATTGATTTCGTTTAAATCGAAATAGAATGGCAATGCTTATCTTCTCCAATCACCTGTTGCGCTGCCATTTTTTGCGCATATATAAGTAGTACTAGTAATGATATAGTAACGTGGATCAGTAAGAACTGAGCAGGCATTTATTTTTTACTCTGGAAGTTTGTCTTAACGCATCAACGTTGCCATCTTTATTTTTTTTTTTTTTTCTTTTGGCTTGTTACAGTTTTTTTTTTTCAACACAAACAATGGCTACATTTTCCCGAGAAAATAAATAAAATATTAATTTAAAAAAAAAAATAATAATATTCATCTAATGCGTGGGTTACTTTGAGCGCGGAAGAAGTGAGACCACGTGACACCGTAAAAGCATGTAAATCTTTTGTCCGTTTTTTTTTTCCTGTCGTTGGCAAGGAAACGTTGGCGTCATTTTTAAATATGTCCCTTTTAGATTGATTGAATTCCTGCCTCTCGTGATTACCACTGGACAGGCCACACTGGCTTTCCTTTCACAATTGTAGCTGGCACAAAATTTTTTTTTTTTAAATTCAAAGGCCAAATAAAGAACCATTTGTGTCAGCTGAAAAGAAAAAAAAAACCAGACCTCGGCGTCATGACTTTTGTCCAGGACTTTCAGTCAACAGTATAAGGATATTTACTTGACCCCCCACTGTGTAAGGTTGTGACACAAGGTCAGTTTTTAACGTGGGAACCCGAGTTTTTTTCACTCGGGCCACTGGTCTAAGCTGGTCATATCTGGTCTCGGCTTGTCATAGCTGGTCCAAACTGGTCAGAGCCGGTCCAAGCTAGTCGTAGCCGTGATACCACCAGCCCAGGGACGGAGCCCTGGGCCAGGTAAGTATTGGTATCATACTTATTAAAAACCCAAGTTGTGTGTGTGTGTGTGTGTGTGTGTGTGTGCGTTTATATATTGGATCGGATTTCTATTTTTCAACCGATTTCAACAAAACTTCACTGACTGGTAAAAATTACCTTGCGGTGGTTCTGATAGCGCCAAAATTGAAAAACACAATTGTTTTTGCACGAAATCAATTTGAAAACACGATTAAGAGGGATCGCGAGAATGAAAGGGGGACAACTCATATCGAGTTATACTTAAACCCAGATTGTTTGTGTGTGTGTGTGTGTGTGTGTGTGTGTGTGTGTGTGTGTGTGTGTGTTCGTTTATATATGGGATCGGATTTCCTACATTTTTCAACCGATTTCAACAAAACTTCACTTTTTTTGGCAGGTTTTTTCTTATTGTCTTGCACATTTTTTTTTTTTTATTTTTACATTCAGAATGCTTTAAAAATTCCATTTAGAAGACAATTGTTTATAATAAAATTCTATTCAATCGGTAGACTCATAACGATTGAAAACAATGTTTTTTGTTTGAAACAAAACAAAACAAAAAACTAATTAACGTGTCCGTCAATGTTAAACAATAATCTTTGTCAATTTTATTTTTCAGTCTTTATGATGGTCGATACTTGATCTATCTCTTACTGTTACATCCCCGGGCAACGCCGGGCTCTACTGATAATAAGTCATTAATTCCATATACAATCACTTAACCGAATATCCGTTTTAATAAATAACCTGTGTTGGAATAATCAAAGACATATTAGAGTAACCAAAAACTTATACTGGCGCAAACCGCTTTGGGAGGGGGGGGGAGATGTCTCACGTGTAGCTAGTTGTAGCCGAAAATTGTTCGACCAAGTTGTCAATTTCAGAAAGACGGGCTGTAGTTAGAATAACATCTGACGCGAAAAAATGAGGAGGAAAAAAAAAGAAAAACTCTGTGTTTACAAAAATTTGTTGGAACAATCAAGAACATATTAGAATAATCAAGAACTTATACTGGCTCAAACCGCTTGCGTAGGGATAGAAAAGGAGTTCAGCCAAACAGAAAGGGGTGTAAGACAAGGATGTGTCTTCTCGCCGGACTTATTCAACATATACAATGAGGCAATTCTAAGACAAATAGATGTCCTATCAGGATTCATTATTGGCGGACATAATATTAACAGCATATGAAGATGGCAATGCTGATAGCAGACACGGAAAAAAAACTGCAAAAACACCTATAGGACAGCGAGAAGAAATAATTAAACCTTAATTTTAAGAAAACAGAATACATGGTTGTCAGCAAAAGTTTGAGTCCAAATTTCAAATTCCAAATCGGAGATAACAAAATCAAACAAGTATAAAATTTAGATATCTGGGAAGAATTCTAACAGAGGACGGAAAGTATGGCACCGAAATCCGAAGGCGCATTGGCATAGCGAAAGATGCCTTCCAAAAGCTAAGCAGAGAATTAAGAGACAGAAAAAAAACTTCGTTAGAAACAAAGAAAGGAATACTGAAGTCTTACGTGATATCTGTCTTCCTATATGGCATTGAGTGCTGGAAAATTTCCTCAAAGACAGAGAACAGCAGAAAGGACGCTGTGACGAGATTTTTAGAAAATGGAAACAAAAAAGATACTTAAGTATGAGTATCTTTTTTTAAAACAATTCAACTGTAAAATTATGAGACCTAACCGCCAATCTAGTACTGCGCTTAAATTCATAAAGTCTACGTGCCGTAGTGGAAAATTCATCAGAACAATTATCATGAAATTATTTATATATAAAAAAAGCACAGGGGAGCTAACTTACGGGTGTAGAAAGAAAAAGACAGTTGGAATTTCTGTCTCAAGAAGAGACAGTTGGAATTTCTGGGGCACATAATGAGGAAGGAAGGCTTGGAAAATCTGATACTCACAAGATAGATGGAGGTCAAGAGGGATGATGAGCTTAAGTAAATGGATGGCGGAACAGAGTTTAGGAGAAATGACGGAAAGACAAAATTTATTAAGAACTACAAAGGACAGGATATTGTGGAGAGCCATAGCCCCTACGTCATTATGGGGCATGTCACATAAAGAAGACGTTCTGTAATTATCCCAATAAA